AGTAATTAAATTAATTGAAATCATTTGCTGCACCCTAATAAACAGTTAAATGATAATGAAGTAATCAATCTATGGTATAAACACTCCTATCAAACACGCTCCTCTCAATGTTAAGTGGTTGGACATTACGATGTGTGGATGATATGGAACCATCATTTAATAAAACATTTAAGGCCTCAGGTTATCAGTACAAGTAAAGAACAGCATAGGAGAAAAGATAAAACATCATAGGAAGTGTGTTTCACTGGATGGGCTGCACGTCAGTTCCAGCATTTCCTGTTCCTGCTTTCATGTTGACCTCTTAAATAAAGCTATAAATAGAGGCCCTGCTAGGGCCTAACAGAGCAGTCTCTTTTCAGGCTTCAGCCATAAATCAGCAAGAGTAGTTAGTGAGAAAAATAATGACATGGAAAAATCATAATATATCCGATTTTCTAAAATATCTTTCTGACTTTTTAAGTACTAATGAGCAACTGACAATTTGTGAATAAGTGAATTCATAACATCTTTTGATTAAATAGACTAAATGGGAAAGTTAAGATTTTTGTGTGATTGAATGCAAACAAAATATCTGTAGGTGACAATATGAGAGTGAAAAAAGTTTTTGGGACCCAAACTAATTAATTATGTTTTTACAAACATACTTAAAGCTTTATTTTTTTACATGTTGCATCATAAAATTTCAGTGTGTTTTTCCCAAGTAAGATATGTGAAGCTATCAAGTTGAAGATTTGACTTTCAGTGTGCAGTCTGCAGCGTGTACTGTATATGCACCACTAGATGTCAGACTTGTGCTTGTATTTGATCAGCAGTGCGCTTCATACAGAGACTGGCAAAACTCAATCTCATTCAAAGATGATTGAAGGGCAAAGTGGACATGAGCATGGGTGAGATATACAGAGGTAAGGTAAAAACACTTATATATTTCAGCTATATTGTAACAAACACTTGCTTTCAGCTTTCAGTGACAGTAAAGGCTTAGAGAAGCTCAGACAGCTTGACCACTGTAATCTTTCCTGTCACACAGTCTTTGTCAATAAAAACAATAAAAGTTTCTGTTTCTTGGTAGTTGGTAGTGAAAAGATTGGTGGCTCTTCAGTTAGGCAGTGCAAAATGCTCAAGAATTACCAATACATCCATTCTATACCCTAGTTATCATTTGTTAAAAGCCCAGTAATCTATTTATGTATATTAAAACCTACAAATAAGCAACTGAGGTAACTGAATTTTTTTTGTGAAAAAAACATGTCATTATTATTCAAAGCAGATGATTTCTATAAATAATATGCCTATATTCACAAGCATCAACGGCGTGAGCTTGAAACAGATGATCTTGTCAGCTTCCGAATTCTTTTAAAGATGGCACATCACTTGCACCCCCACATGCATCATGGCATATCATTCATTAAGAATAAATACACTTGTAATGCAATTGTTTGCCAGTATAAAAATTTCTTGCTTATAATCATATTCATACAAAAAAAATAAAGTTGGTTTAATAAACTCTTAAATTCAATGTATGAGTGTTTCTTGAATGAATGATTCTTCTTATGTCATATCAATAAAAAAACATTTTCTCCTAATTTGAAAGGCAAAATAATATTTTTTAAAGTCAACTACAGTAAAAGTACAAGTACAGTAATTAATTGATTCATTTGTTTATTTAAACGTCCTGCACCATATGGTGCCCAGCCCATATGGGCTAACAAGAAACCAGACAAAAAACAGGTTAAATTTCCATGACAGAAATGTCTTGTTATGTCAGTGATCTCTGTCTTAGTTGTCAAACGTTTCTATAAGTTTTGCTAAGACAAAAATCTCATTCAAGAGCAAACTCATTAGTTACCTGTCCTAACTCCAGAGAGCATAAGCTCCGCCCTCTTAGAGCGGTCACTTTTGGGTTTATCCCCATTCGCATGTGCAGTTTTCATTTGCTCCCATGGGCCCTGCATTGCCCCCCAAGCTTAAGAGGTCTATGCCTGTAGATGCTTTCAACGGTAACAACATAAACAAACGGTACTGCGCATATGCATTACTCTGGCCCAAACTTAACTTCCGACAGACTTCCGCAAGCAATCCATAACAAGAAATAACACTAGCTAGTAATTCTTGCCAGTCGAAGAAAAGAAATGTTACTTGGCCAAACTGAAATGTGATAAGGTCACACTAGCAGAACCGTTGAACAAAATTTTTTGTCAAGAATGTTTTTCTACCGAATTTCCCACAGAATGACAGCGTAACTGTGGCGGGCAGGGGGATCTCCGACATTGACGTTGGACAGATTTGTGCAGCGGTGTTCACGATACTAGCCATTCAATACACAGACTGGTCTGCTGTCAATGTGTTTGCGGGAGAGAGAGAGGGAGCAAGTGAGAGGAGGTGCTGAGCGAATATGTTCTGCAATCAAATACCAAGTTTTCCCATCTTAAATGGTAAAAAAAACAAAATTATTATGTGGCGGTCAGCGCTGATAATGTGGTGGGCTGCCACAAATGAATTTATGGGAAACACTGTACTGGATATCACTCACCAAATTAGCCAGTAAACACAAACCCAGTAAAAAACAAACAGAACGGAAGTTGACTTTGGGCAGGGCGCATCACCTTGGCAACATGTCCAATGAAAGCGTCTATACCAATAGAATCTGGAGTTACAATTCAAAACTAATGTTCAGTTTCGCTGAAAAGGACACCATCTGTCCGTTTAACATGCTGTAGTAGAAGGGGCCCTCGCGCCCCTGGATTGTGTGGACAACTGGAGGGGGAAGTCCTGATCTCTCCAAGTGGGAGAAAAGCTGTAAAATGCTTAAAGGGGGCTTTAGAGGAAAGTGGGTGGCCCTGAAAAGCAGTTTCAGTTTTCCAGAAAAAGCTGCCTCCCTAAAGGGCTGGCGCTGTTCACTTCATTCAGGAGGCAATAACTCTCTTAACTTATCTCTAATTTGTCAATTGCTTTAACACAAGAAACGTCTCAAGCTGTGATTTTTACCGGTCCTTTAATCTGGGGCCTCATTTATAACCATTGCGTATGCACACAAAAAAGGGCTTGAAATGCACATATGCCACTTTGCAGGCATAAATTGGGATTTATTGGGATTTATACACTGCTTGGCTAGCCAGCAAAGGCCGCAAAGATGCCCTCCTTTCCTCACCTGACTTGAATCCAGTTGAGAACTTCTCAAAAGTGAGATTTACAGTCAGAGACATCTCTTTGAACAGCGTTTGGGAGGCTGGTTGCTGCTTTAGTGAAAGATGATAGTGAACAGATCAAGAAACTGACAGACTCCACAGATAGGAGGATTATGGTTATTGAAAAGATGGCTGGCTGCATTGATTATTAAATTTTAAAAATTTAAAATAACTTTTTAAATAAGTTTTCAGTCGAGACTCTGGAACAGACAACAGACCTCTGCCCGAGGATCTCAAGGTACGTGCTGGTGCGTATGGGACTAAAAGTTCAGAAATATAACACGACGAGAGGCCATGAAGAGCTTTAAAAGTGATCAATAAAATTTTAAAGTCTATTCTAAAACATACTGGGAGCCAGTGTAATGAAGCTAAAACAAGGGTAATGTGGTCATATTTCTTAGTTCTGGTTAAAAGTCTGGCAGAGATCTATATGTGGTTTTTCAATGAAATCACTTATTAATAAATAAAATTTTCACTGTGTTGTGAATTATTTTGGAGCATTATAGCCTAAATTGTTATCATTTATTACTAGAGCAATGGTGTTCTACATTGTCGTCATTTAAAGTGTTATTTTATAGTGTAAAATTAGGATCACAGTGTTAAAACTCTACAGCTCTGAGTGTATATGCTCCTTTCTGTATCTAACTGCCCAGGCACATGTGTGTGTGTGTGTGTGAGCAAGTTTGTGTGCTTTGGGAGAAAAGGGAGGGAACACAGTGAGGCAGCATCAAAAATACCTGCAAAGGAAAATATAGAAGCAGATTTTGTGCAAATTGTATAACAAAACATACATCAATATAGTCCATCACAGTAAGAATGTCCTGTTTTTAGCACAGAGCACAAACAACACCAGTTTATTCCGCAAAAGTCAGGTTATGGAAGAAATGGCATGATCAAGCAGAGTTCATGCAGAGGACACAGAGAGGAGGAGCAGGCAGTCAGGGACTTTCCCAGACCCAGGTGCAGTAGGAAAGAGAGCCAAGAGATGATGTGAAGCCAAGAAACAGAGCTATAAAAGGAGGTCCAAAAGGAGGTGAAAGTCAGTCGTTACATGGTTTTCATGTCGACTCGGGTCTCTGTTCTGGTAACAGAATGGGGCTCTATTTTGCACCGATCTCTGACACACTCCGGTGGAACTTTTGTATTCTAATTGGTGTCTGTTTTTGTTGATAATAAAAATGTTGGTAAAAGTTCAAGCTTTCTTATCTGGCCCAAGTCTTGAATTTTTACACGACATTAACTGCCTTATTGTCAATGGGCTGTAGCCTCACTTAGATATCAAGCACACGCCTGTTTTCTGTTGCTTGGAACAGCCACTATTCTGCTTTTACTATGAAGGCACTGGGTCGGGACGTAGCCCTGTGAGCGTTCCTGAGCACCACAGCTAACGAATGCAGTCCACTAACACCACAAAACATTGCTTAGCAACAACAAATAGCGGAGCCTTAAACGTCTAAAAGTCAGGGGTACCCAGGGAGTTAAAAAGCGACTTGACCAAGCGTCCATATGTGACGAGTCAGGCGTGAGAATGTGTTGTTGTGAGGGGTGAGTCGCACCTATCCAGGGCTGCAGTACAAAAAAAATAAAATAAAAAGTTGGGCCAATTCATTTATTCATCAGTGATTTAATGTACCACCCAGCAAGCACACTAACACTCTCAAATTAAACACCCATGGTGATGTTGTTCTTCTAGAGCCCCGACCTTGCACAGTTTGGATTTCTTATATTATATAATACTATATTTCTTTATGTTAAAGGTATGTAAATATCTGAATATATATATACACTCAAGAAACACTGAATCAGCTGAAGAGCTGATAATTTTAGAAATTTATTTAACATTTTAACAGAAAATACAAACAACATAATAAGTAGTAAAAACATACAGGCTTGATAAAACAAATTATGTATTCTCCCCTAGAATTATAACTGTCAGACCACATACTGAAATTTAGTTAAATTTATTGCTGGCTATATGGTCACTAATAGGGAGAACATAGGAACTTAGACAGAAAAGTTAGACCCAACCTAATTATAATGAAATAAAAAGAAATAGATTATTGGGCAAAACTAACCTTTTTAGCCCTAAACAGATAGCACACTATGCCTATACATAACTGAGGAGAATGCAGACTTGAGTGTAAGACAGAACACTTAAAAAAGGATCTGATTTATAGCCTTTAGCCCAACTGCAACTGCTGTATCGGGACTCTACTAAACTCAGAAAATTGCCAGAAAGCACAAAAAAAATTACACACAAAATTTAGACCGTGAAAATTAAATAATGTGAAAAGATATCAACAACCTGAATACAGCTTTGGAGCTGAAAGTATGCAAAAGTAGTAGTAATAATTAGTAATAATTAAGATTCAAAGAACAATAGTGTTGAATCAGCGATCTCGCTAATAATAAGCCTGGCAAGGCACATCAGACACGCTAAATAACTGCTAAAAGGCCAAATCAATTACGGTTGAGTTTTTCCAGTGTTCTGTAAAAGCTTACGTACATGTGCTTATGTTAATGCAATTGACAGACAGAGACACAAACAGAAAAAGATAAACAAATATTACCATCCTTTAAAAAGAACAATTCTCTGCTGCCTGTGTAGTTGCAGAATAATTTCATATTCTTTCATTCCAGGATGACCTCCAGTTCCCAGCTTTTTGTCAGAGAGTTTTTCAAAGTAATGGCTCCAGTTTCCATCACTGTCTGCTCCAAACCCAAAAACATTGACCTGGGAAAACCATAATGAGACCATGAATCTCAGCTGGATTTATCTCAAAGTATTGTTGCCATTAAAAGTGTTTTTTAATGTACTATTTTGTATGAATGCTTCATAATTTTTATATTACATATTGTTAGATATTTATTTACATTTCATTGTGTAATTTAGTGTCATTTGTTGCTACACTGAGCATTCTTAAGGAAAGCCTCTGACAAAGCAGTGTTTGGCCCACTGGCTGTGTGAAGCTATAACAGGCATATGCAGACAGTTGGACATCCTGGTATTTGTGCCCTCTCTACAACGACTACGTCCTCCTCCACAGCATTACTCAGAGGGACTCAGTAGCTCTGTGAGAATTTGCCTCATTTTCTTCATGCAGTCATCCTGTACATCCAAAGCGAGAGCTGTGTCCGAGTACTCGGAAGTAAGTTGGACTCTTTCCAGGTGAGGGTTGGCCTTTGCCAGGGCTGCGCTTTGTCACCAATCCTGTTTGTGATATTCATGGACAGGATATCAAGGCGTTGTCGTGGTGAGGAGGAGCTGCGGTTCGGTGGGCTTAGGAACTCGTCGCTGCTTTTTACGGATGATGTGGTCCTGATGGCATCATTGGCCTGTGACCTTCAGCTCTCAAGTGAAGGAGTTCAACTACCTCAGGGTCTTGTTCACAAGTGAGGGGAGACTAGAGCAGGAGATTGGCCGGAGAATCGGAGCAGCAGGGGCGGTATTGCACTCGCTTTACCGCACCGTTGTGATGAAAAGAGAGCTGAGCTGTAAGGTAAAGCTCTTGATCTACCGGTCAATTTTTGTTCCTATTTATTATCTTCCTCTTCCTTGTCTTTCCCACTGTATCAACGTGTAATGTGTGAGGCCAGAATGTGTAATGTGAACTTACCTCGTCACACATTTGCATGCTGAGAGCGAGAGTCAGAAAGCCAGTGGATGGATACCAGCCCTTCTTTCCCAGCCACATTTCGTGAACAAATTTTATGAAATCCGGATTGAGGATCATCACCTGTTATGAATCAGACATAGCACTTTAACTGACATTTATAAATCATCCCTTTCTGCAATAAATGCACCATTCAATACAATTTATTATCGTATTGTATGTAGGGCTGGAAAATAAAACAAAACAATGATAATTATCGCAATATCATTTTCCTCAATAACAATATAATAAATGTTGAATATAACGTCAATAAATATTTGCTTTAATTCACATGAATCACAAACAAATTTGCACCTAATTTTTCTATAAAAATATTTATTTTGTTGAAAAAAGAGGCCTGAAAAAAGATTAACTAATCATATTTGTTGAAAAAGATAATAGTTTTAAATGTTCTAACTCAGACTTGTGAAGCGATCCACTGTTTGGCATCAAGTGTCACATTCTGAACATAAAGAAAAGTTTAACCACATAATTAACCATCTGGTTTCTTCAATTTTCACTCAGGAGCACAAATCAGCCTTTAAACTTTAAAAGAAATAATGATTTGACATATATCGTGATAATTATCGATATCGAATGATGTGTTTTTATCGTGATAACATTTTTGGTCATATCGCCCAGCCCTAATTGTATGGCGTATTACATGACTTATCATATCTATATACAGTATGTCAGTTACATGCAAAATCATTTCAAATACTCACCAAATCCTTGTTAGCTATTTTCTTTGGGTTCACAGCCCTGTTTTACCAAAGGGAGGAAATTAATTGTTAAATTTAGTAGAAAGTAAATAGATTTTCAAGTATTATTTGGAAAAACATCATGTAACACTATTTTGTCATGTTAAAATGTTGCATTGTTATAACCAGTGACTACGAGTCATTGCAATTTTTTTAAATACATCACTAGTCAGTTACATACTTTTTCCCCCTGCTGTCTCTCTGCCTGCCTGCCTCATTAGCCTTGATCCCCGTCACCTGTGTTGCTCCCGCCCTGCTCGTAAGTCCCTGGTGTATATATGTTTGGTTTTTCTGTTCAGTCCAGATGTGTGTTCTGTCAGTTGCTGCGCTACCTGTTCTTCATATTGGATGTAGCCAGTTTCCTCAGACTGTGAGTTTTGTTCTTGCCTGTTGATTTGGATTAAATCCCTGACAACTTTAAGTATAAATAATGACATTTTGCTGCTTTACTACATTTCTACACAGCTCAGGAAGAACAGTAAAGCCTATATAAATTTCTACTTGGTTCCTAGATGATAAAGTCATGGTTTGAGTTTGTTATTATTTCCTGTTTAATTCCTGGTTTATCCTAGGGCTGGATGATGATTAATCGAAAAATAATCGAAACCGATGTCGGTTATTTCAGTTTTTTAATCCTATTCATATTTCAGTCCACTGTGTGTTCATGTACTTTCCCCTTACAAACATACAGCCACGTGTGTAGTGACTCCGCCCCGTCCAGTCTGCGGCATCAAAGCAACATGGAGGAGAATGCAAACAGAGTCAACTGAGCAACAGCAGCTTGTACCAAAGAAACACGCAGTGTCTGTCGTTTGGACAAGTTTTGGCTTCAATAAAGATGACAACGAACAAACTCACATTAAATGCAACCCCTGCAGAAAAACTGTTTCAGCGACCAAAGGTAAAACCACCAATCTGTTTCAACACTTGGAGCACAATCACGTTACCGAATATGAACAGTGCATGGCTCAAAAAAGAAAAGAGACTGACAGGCGCCCAGCAACAAGTGCCTCTATAAAGCAGGTGTCGATAACGCAAACATTGACAAACGCTACAAAATATGAAAAGGATTTAAGAAGATGGAAAGAAATAACTGACGCCATTTGTTACCACATTGAAGGATATGGCTCCCATAGCTACAGTGGAGCACAGTGGGTTTAAACAACTCATTAAAACACATGACAGAAGACACACTGTTCCACCGTGATCATATTTTTCCCAAACTGCGTTGCCCAACATGTACCAAACAAGGTAGCTGCTGAACTGAAGTCTGTTAAGCAACAGGTGCCTTGAGACAGTATATTTTCCAGTCCATCACAAGTGAGAGATGATCGCGCAGGGCCTGAGAGATACTCTTTCTGCGTGGGAACTAACAGAAGAGAACCTCGTGGCCATTATGAAGGACAACTGCGCTAATGTTGTCAAAGCTGAACGGATGGACATGGCAGCAATGTTTTGGACACAGGCTGCACCTGCAATCGGTAAGTGCACATCGCTTAAACGAAACAATGCTACAATATTCAATAATCTAGTTTCCATCTAAATGTTTTTTATATGACCTGTGTTTTTACTTTTATATTCTGTGCTGAAAAGCTTTTTTACATGTGTTTGAAAAGGGGCTATATAAATATTAATTGTCCTTCAGCACACTAAATAATTACTGTGACTACAATAAAATAACATTACAATGTAACAACGCTACATTGGGTCATCATTAGAGTAGAAATAAAAAAAAAAAGATGTGTTAGTAATCCTCTTGTATAAATTTATCTAGAGCTACAGTTTGTAAAATTGTAAGGTATAAGTGAAACCATCAATTGTGTTTTTTTTGTGTGTTTATTTCAGAAAATGCAGTCAAAGATCAATGTGTGGTGCGGGCAATGATGGTGTGCAAAAACAGTCTGTGCCTTTTCCTATAGTTTGAAAAAGCAGAAGGTATTAAGGCGCAACAAGAGCTGAACCTGCCTCAACACAAGCTGAAAACCGATGGGGATCAACGCAAATGATGACTGCACTGAGAAAAAGAGAGCCATTCCACAGGTACTCGCTGATTATAAAAAATCAAGGCATCTTATTCCATCTTGGGCTGACCTGGATGTCTTGGGGGCTGTCAACAGAGCTCTTTCCCCATTGATGGAGTTCACAGATGCCTGGTCAGGAGAGGAGTATGTGACCATTTCATTCGACCCCATTACAGAAGAGCTACTGGACACCGCCAATTTTGTTGATCCAAGATTTACACAGACACATACATTTCTGCACACCATGTCCCCTCCATTCAGGAGAAAGTGAAAACGGAGATGGTGTCAGCAGCTGCAGTCCGCAGGGAAAGTACCACTGAGAGAACACAGCCCTCTAGGTCTTCATCAGAAACAAAGAAGCCAAAGGAAGTGAGGCACCTCCTTCAACTGTACCCACTTTATCACTTCAGCAAACACTAGAAGCAGAGCTTAGCAGCTAGTTGGTGTCCCCCGTGCTGGATAATGAGGAAAATCCACTGGAATGGTGGGGAAAGCATCATGTACACTTCCCTACTCTAAGTAGGGTGGCGAAAATTTATCTCTGTATACCAGCCCCTAACTCCCCATCAGAGCGAGTTTTCAGGAGGAAACATTGTTACATGCCTCAGATCTTCCCTGAAACCTGAGAAGGTAAACATGCTAGTGTTTCTTAGTAAGAACCTGGAGTAAATACTTATTTTTATATGGCAATATTTAACATTTGTTTACAAGAGATAAAAGTTATTTTCTACTTTTAAGATGCATTTAAGTATTTACAATAATTTATATTGTCTGCAAAAAAGCTATTTTTTAAAGTTTATTTTCTACATTTTTAGGAAACTTTCTTTCAAGCAATGTTTGCTTTGATTTCAATTGTTCGAAATATGCAATAAATAAGCATTAATAGCTAACTGTGTTTCCTTATTTTAAAATCACAAAAGATAAAAGATGGGATTATGCATTCTTTCATTGGAAAAAATAACCGTGAGCATATTTACAGTATACGCCTTGCCAGTGACATATGAGGGCAAAAACACAAATGATAAACAAAAAATAAAAATCATCATTTTTTTGTCAGTAATTATCTGTGTTCCACTGTTGCTTTTCATGCTCTGTCTTGGGTCATCCCCTGCTTGTTCCCTGTCTGTTCCTGTGGATCTTGGATTTCTGTTTTCGGATTAAGCTGTGTGTTTTTTGACTTCCCCTGTTTGGACTTTGCTTTACATTTTTGGATTCTCAGTTTGAAATACTTGTTGGAACTCTGTCACTCCCGTTGTTAATTCATCTCTAGAACTGTTCCTGCTCTGCTCCTGTGTCTTGCAATTGGGTCCTCATCCTGTCCACACACCCCAACAATATGCTTATAATATTCAGCCTCACGTAAGAAAAGTCAAACCCCTTTATTTGTGTGAAACGGACTTGGGAGCAAATAAATAAATATAAAACGCATTTCAAAATGGTAAGTAGGCTTACTATAAAAAATCAAGTAGTAGCCTGGCTTACAAAGCTTTTCAATCAGTCTCTGTAGGGTGATATAGTGATACGAAGGTTCTCCGCATCACCACAGCAAACGAAAAAGCAGCCTATTAAACATTCTATGGGATCTTCGACAGATGGTGAGTTCATCTCTTTTCTGGAACATAAACTGCTCCGGAGCAGGTTAGCAGTTCAGCATAAGTTACCATGGCGATCTACCCTGGTAAGAAGCGAACCAATGTCATGGTACTGAAAGCCCAGGGTCAACCCTAAAGTTATCTGGATAAGCTAAAATCCTGGGTCGTGGTACAGGCCCCTGTACTCTTTGGATTATTTGGCTCTGTTGCTATGTTTCGTTTTGGAACTTGCCTTCATTTGGACTTGCCTGTAGTAGTTCTCTGTATACTATATCATACAAACTGGATCCTGCTCTCACTAGTGTCTGCATTTGGGCCCTTATCAGTTTTACCTGTCACTGCACTCTGCCGACCCTGCTATGAAGCCTTGTATTTTTATATTAAAAATGGATCAAATGACTATGTGTAATGTGAAAGGAGGCACTCAAAGTGATGAAATTACAGGCAATAATCACACAACTCTGCAGTTCCCCTCAGCTTTAAGGAGTGTCTTAGAGTCTTTCAGCTAACCTAATTGTTTGGTTTGGCCAACTTAATTTGTTTGGTTTAGTTTGTTTTCTTAAAATTACAGATAGCAATAGCAGCTTTGTTTTACACACCTACCCTATAGTGAATTTTTTGAGGATCCAGTCGAAATCACTTATTTTGAATGGAAAAAACACAAGATGTGTGGTGTCCTTCAAATAAGTAGCACTCTCCGGATACATTACATGATGAGTTGTTTTGTTTCCAACATCTGCTTCATAGTCTTGGGTACGGCCTCGGTTTATTCTAAAAGATAAAGGGGGATACATATTTAATCTCATGTAGTTAAAGGACAATGATACAGTTTCAGAAATTGTCTGTGTCAACAGTTTTGTTCAAGCTTTTTAAAGGTGGCAGTAAGATTTGTATTTTTAGTAAAGATGAGATTATACATTCATGGGTTTCATTGAAGAGTGATATTTACCTAATGACGATGTCATGGAAATCTATCAGAGGTCCATATTTTGATCCCTTCAAATTAGCAGAATTCCCCACTACAGCACAAGTCCTGCAACGGTTAGGACTGGATTCTTCAACAGCTGCATTGGGTGGGAATATCTGAAACAGCTTGTCCACTGTTGACTTGTAGAAAGTGAAGTTGCATTTTGAACCATGCAAGGTCTGAAACACAACAGAAAAACAACGTAAAATGTTTTTGGTACTAATCTTTGTCTGCCTTTTTTTTCCAGAAAAATGCAAATACATACCACCTTTTTTAAGTTCATATAACGCACATGTTAGCAAACAGCTTACTTACATTATAATTAACATTATAATTCATTATAAAAATGATCATTTTAATAACACTACAAAAACAACAGCATTCAACAGTGATTTAGCCTATTTAACACTCCTATTACATTCTAGTGTTCCATTTTTTAATACATCTGAAAAGAGACAGTACAGTGGCAAAACCAACTGAACAAACCACACGTAGGCTACACCGTAATACTAGAAACGGTTGAAATAATAATCTAATTTGTTAAGTTTAGTTATGATTAACATCACATTTGCTAATGATTATTTAAGACGGCAGTGCATAGTAGACAGTACATTCCACTGTCATGGAATAGCAAAAAAGACATTTTGAGCATATTTGAATAATGGGGAGATGTCTCCCACCCAATATACAGTATATTTTGATTACAGCCTTGCCTTTCTCTATTTATACCTTTCTCATTTCTCTGTTTATACATCCTCGACTCCTTTTTCTAACCTCCTCGCCTTGCACGTAGGGAGAGAAATTAACCATTCGCCGGCTTCCTCAGTTGCTTGTAACAGCCATTCTGCTGCTTCCTATATGAAGAAATCGGGTTGGATTTTCCACCATATCTACTGGCTTACGTAGGCTGGGACATTCACGAATGCTTTCTCTGGCCTACTGATTCTGAACTTCACAGTGACAACACCACAGCCTAAAGTGGTTTTTAGTGGTGCAAGGCAGCCAGCAACAGTATCTCACAAAAGTGAGGATTGGATGATAATTAAACAGTTAATGAACTAAATACTATAAATATTATAGAACTAAATATTATAATTAAGATTGTTACCACATTTTTTAACAATTACATACATTACTACGGATCTACCACTGTTTCCTTCATAATGTTCAATTTAGATTTATTGGTGTTCGATACTCAGGTACACAGATTCTCCACCGTCTCAGTCGCTGTAACTAACGTGACCCACATAATATACAATCTAAGCAATCTAAAAACCGCACCGCTATTCGACACTGAAAACTATAATTACCCCTTTAATGGGGAGTCACCTTATTTCACCCACTCGTAACTCACCCGCTATTAATCAGAATGTTAATTTTATGATCCAGCCCCACCCATCCGGACATTGCTAACCTACATTCAATGCTAAAAACATCAGTAATATCAAGGTGAAATGGCATGCGGTTAGAACAAAGCCTTATGAGGCGCTACACAAATGGTGAAGGGCAGAGCGTTTGATCGCGTTTTTGATCATCTTGACTAACTAAAACAACTTATGAATACTGTAAAGCCCTGCTCCTGCCTTGTTTTATGTATTACAGCTGTGTGGCACGCCTCTTTTGGATATAATGAAGTGTCGAAAAGGATTCTACAAAGGATACACCGATGCATCCTAACTTATAGCTTCTCTGGCAAGCGTCCTCGCTCCCCGATGTGTATCTTAGGAATTCATATGTCCTTTGAAATGGAGCAATCTTGCAAAACATTTGTTTCCATGCAGGTAATGTTGGGGAGAAAGAAATCGCACAAAAGTACAACAATCCAAGTAAATATTAACCGCAGAAATATCATGTTATTAATGAGAAACTATTTGCTAACTAGGCAATAGGAAATTTATGTCCCCTACAATACTGCCAACTAACATGGATGTTTTTTCTTGCACCAAGTGCATGACTGCAATGCACTGTGTGTAATATGCACCATATCCACAGTGATCATTTTTGTTGACTGGCTCCCTCAGCCCCACATGGGTAGAAGTTCACGTCAATTTTTCAGACAAATGAAATTTACCCTTACAATGAGAGGGGTGAATCCCTTGTGGCCAAGTGCCGGGGGGGAAGTCAGCATGGTGAATAACTAATAAAACGCAGCCTTGGTTTGGTGCCATGTGTTTTTGCTTTTGGGTTTCTGTAACCTGAAATTTAACCTGGGCCTAACTGCACCTAGCTGTAAGCCTTCAGAATTACATATAACGGCTTCCTCTTGTGGTAAGGATAGCTTAGATTCTTCCTCTTATAGAAAGGAAACACAAAAAGTCCAAAATAGTTTGCTGCAGGGCCAGTCAAAGTCTCTAAAATGATTAACACTGAAACAGAGCAGCAGAAGCTGCAGAATATCTGTGTTGTGTCAGTTGACATTTACCTTCCACCAATTAAAAGTATCCTCTGAGGTTGTACTTTTTCTTGACAAAAAGAGTGTAGGGGATGCATTAATAATCTCCCTAAACCATGGATCACCCCCTGTTAAACATTTGGGACAGGCACAAAGGCTTGACATCTCGGATCCGAGGAAACATAAAGATAAATTCCATGTGAATCTAGACAGCAGTCCACAGGCAGCGGTACACAGTAGGGACATGAGAACCACTTTGGGACGCATCTTGGCAGCGTGACGTTCTTGAATGAAGAACAGAGGCAATCTGTGGAGACAGTATGTGACACTGGTGAGTAAATTCATGAATTAGGAAAACCAATCATCAATAAGCCAACAGTAAAACAAATGACTAGTTTATTACAGTAAGTGTGAAACTAATTGTCAGGCTGGTCTTTAGTAAAATGTATTTATAGTATAAACAATATAAAATATCAAACCGATATGTCATTTGGGGACAGCTCCCAATATTCCCTGAGATCTACAGTCCCCTCCAGAAGTTTTGGAACGATAAGGCAAATTCCTTTGTTTTTGTTGTTCACTGAAGACATTTGGGTTTAAGATCATAGATGAGTATGAGACAAGAGTTCAGAATTTCAGCTTTTATTTCTTCTGAATTCAGTACTGAACTGCTGTATTTTAGGTTGCCATACAGTAATAATAGTGCCCATTAAGAAGGTTGCACGTCATTCCAACAGTTTATTCCATGTTGTGATGATTAGTATATCAAGATTTCCCTGTTTGCACTACCTGATCACTTGTGTGTAAGTATCTCTTCTTTAATTAAATTTTAGCAAGCCACTGCCTGCTTTTAAGCCTTCACTGCATGCAGACACTCGCACATACAGAAGAAGAGAGCAAAATTCATCTTTAATAAAAGTATTTTTGTGCCAACAGGTCCCTGTATGTATTTCATTATATAGCATTAGCTTGTTTGACTGTAGTGTAGCCTGTAACTTTGGTTGTGTTTAGGTGTAATTTTAATCAATAAATTAACCTAAAAATATTGTTTTAAAAATTTTTCAAATTTGAGCGTTCAACACATTAAAACTACATTTGTCGCTGTATGCCAGGTTAATTATAATAAATCCCACTTTCAGTTGAAATGTGTTAAGCTATATATTTAAAAAATAAAACATGTTTCTCTTACCTGACAAGAGATTAAACAAAAAAAACGGCAAGTAAGGCAAGAAAGAAACTATGCAGTTGAGTAATCTGTGAGACAATGATCCACAATGATACCAATCTGCAGCAGACTATAAACTACCTGGAAGGGCGTGTTAGAGGGTTGGATCCATCCATCTATTCTCTCATCCATATAACATATACATATCACGCATGTGTGTTTAATAATATATATACATAGCAGGTCTATGTGCTATGCTAATGTTTGTACTTCTTTGAATTCTTAGTTCTGTATGTGTTTGTAATTGTTAGCTCAGAAATTTATCAAATATTTATGTAGTGGGCAGGCCCACTGTGGGAAATCCATCCATCAACATTCAAAATGTCAGGACCATTGCGGGATTGTTGTGAATGCTGAGACCACATCTAATTTGATCAAACCACACCCATGAACGGTGCTCATGTTTGAGGTACATGAGCAAACGGACACTGTAGCTACACAAATAAAGTTGTCATCGCAATGA